ATATTAATTGAGCGAATTCCTATGTAAATATCCATTTTGTACTAGATCATTTGAAGATGATTTAATCTAAATCGTGATTAATTCAATTCCTTTCATGCAATTTTAGTTTGAGTTTGTTATTTGATTTAGGTTTGAAGTTAAATTAGGTTTTTGGGTTTGCATTCAAATTTTATTAAGTGAAATTTAAAATATAATTTTAAAATACAGAGTTAATTTGTTAATTGGATCTTGGAATTTGAGTATGGGTATATGTATATGAAATATTGATGTCCTTTGATGAATGAATCAACTAAACTAAATTTTGATTCAAGAAGATAACAATGCTTTTACAATTGCACTAGATATAACAACGGTTAATTGCATTTTATTTTATATTTTAAAATTATGTATTTTAATATTTTTATATAATAAAAATTTATGTTAATAATTTTTTAAAACATACAATTCCATTCAATTGATGAGATTACCAATGGAAGACTATTCTAAGCAGAAAAATAAGATGAAAAATTGATTGTTCAAACATAACTTTATCTTCTCCATGTGACAAAAAAATGTTAGTATTGTATGATATTTCAATAAAAAATATAAAAATATATTGATTTCAAATTTCTTTAGGATTAATAAGAAACTCTTTTATTTAGAGAAATATTGTTTACTCCTTTTCTTTTAGTTGAAGAATGTTCAATGTTGTGTCAAATTTTTAATGTTGCCAATATTAGATAATATTTGTTAAAAAGAATTTAAATTCATCAAATTAATTATAACTATTATATTTAATATAAAAATATTATTATAAATTATAATTTAACTAAACTTAAAGTGATTTAAGGGCATTTATTTTAAAAATTGATTTGATAAATCTTTATTTAATTGTGTATTTAGTATTTCAATTATTTTGAATTTTGAATTTTCATAATTTTGAGTTAGATTTTAGACTTAGGATCAACAGCTAATTAGGTTAAGTCAAGGTTTATTATCTACTTCTATTCATAGTGTAGTGAATTATTTACTTATACACCTGAGCAATTTTAACTTTATAATTAATGAATACTTCTCCTTATTTAAAAGGTTGGAATCAAGTTGTCCTAGATCCAAATACAAAAAATATATTTAATTACTTATACTTGCAATTTAACTTAAAAATGCTCTTAAAATTAATTAACTAATTCAACTATAAAAACAATGAAAATAAAGTATTGAAAATGAAGGGAAAACTTTCAAATAAAAAATTTTTAGATTGTTACGAAAGATAAATATGAAATATTGAATTTTGATTGGGCTACTATTTCAATTTAGATTTTTGTTATATTTAATTATTTTTGGGTTTTAAATATCTATTAAGAGTCCATTTGGATGGATGGTAAGATTAGCTCATATGAGATTAAAAATAATGGTGGAGGTGAGATTAGTTATTACAACGTTAGATTAATTATTATAACAATAAGATTAAAATTAGTGGTGAGTTATATGTTTGGATGCAAAAGCAATAGTAATGGTTAAGTGAATTATAATAAGAAGAGAAAATTATCATTACAAACATTATATTAAAATTTGTATTTAGTAAAAAATTTAAAGTATTTAACATTTTTAAATTTATTAAATTATTGAAAAATTATTAAATTATTTTTATGTTAAATAATAATTTTATTAATAAATAATTAAAAATTAATAAGAATAATAGTAATATATCAAATAATATTTTATATTTTTATTATATATGTAGTTATCTATTTTTAGTTAAAATAAAAATATTATTTATTTATAAATTATTAAAATTTATTTATTAATTTATCATATTAAATTAAATATTAATAAAATTATTTTATAGTTTTTAAACAAAAAATCATAATAGAAAAAACAAAAGTTAGGTTTTTTAGTGAATAAAAACACATTTTCAAGGTAATATTGGAATAAAAAAATCTTTTAGGGGTAAAAAGCTCAAGTTGGGACCCCAATGGTCCATTGGACCCTTAACTCTCTGACTTTTCAATGCGATCAAAATATCTAAACACAGTAAATGTGATGTTATTCCAACAATATTTACAGTGCAATTGTGCCAAAAAGTTAAGCTATTCACACCCCATTAGAGGTTCAGTGACATCCACATTAATTTTAAGTCATTGATTTTTTAAAATAAATTAAAATTAAATTAAATTAGTTCATTTTTATTATTATATGTATTATATTATTTTAATTAAATTAAAATTTAAAATGGATAAATTTTTATTTATATTCAATTTAAATTTTGAATTGTTTCAAATTTGATTTGATTATTTTACGTTATTTTAGTTATATTTTTATGATATTATAATAAATTTTAAAATAAAGTGAAAATATAATATAATAAAAATTTAAGTGTAAAAGTAATAGATACTAATAATAATTTTAGAAAAAAAATCTTATATCAAAGCTTTGTAGGGACTAAAAGATATATTTTTTTATGAAAAATTTAAAATTAATATTACAAAAATATTAATCTAGATCAATAAATTTATAATTATTTATTTATTAATTAAAATATTATTATATAAATTAAAAAATAATTTTAATATTTAATTTAAAGAAGGTATTACAATTCATACTCATTTAAAAAGAAATATGAAGTTAATTAATTAAGCCCAAGCCCTCCTTTGGAAAATTTTAAGTCTTCCCTGGTTTGAAAAGTCAAGTCAACTAATTAAATCCAAACCATAAAACACTTCAACACCAGCCAATCATAGCTGGTGAGTTATTTTCCATGGAAAAAAGAAAGAAAAGAAGTCTGTCAACATTTAGTTTAATTGATGAATACTTTTTATTTCAAAATTTTAAAATTTAAGTTTTGTTTTTCTTAAATTAAAAAAATAAATAAAAAAAGAAGACCTAGGATTATCTTATCTTTAGGAAAGAGCAATAAATATTTCTGTGGCTGCAAATCAAAGAAAGTCTTCCTTTGACAATTCATTCAACGAGTCTAGAGCCCAAAAAGTGGAAAACCACTATAATAAATTTGCATTTACTATTTTCCCCAATTATTCTGTTGTTCAAAATCGTTTTTTCCAAACTTTTACAAATTTGGCTGGCTCTATATGTAAATATCCATTTTGAACTAGATCATTTGAAGATGATTTAATCTAAATCGTGATTAATTCAATTCCTTTCATGCAATTTTAGTTTGAGTTTGTTATTTGATTTAGGTTTGAAGTTAAATTAGGTTTTTGGGTTTGTATTCAAATTTTATTAAGTCAAATTTAGAATATGATTTTAAAATACAGAATTAATTTGTTAATTGGATCTTGGAATTTGAGTATGGGTATATGTATATGAAATATTGATGTCCGCTGATGAATGAATCAACTGAACTGAAATTTGATTCAAGAAGATAACAATGGTTTTACAATTGCACTAGATATAACAACGGTTAATTACAATGAAAGAAAAGAAAAATTGGTCTTCAGTGAATGGAGATTATCAATACCAGCAATGTGGAATCACTAGCCCTTGGCCCAAAACAGCTATAGAATTTTTAGCGTATTACTTCAAAAAGAGTCATAAGACTTTTCTTTATAGGTTGAGACCTTGTTACAAAATGAAACCCCTGTGGAAGACAAGAATTTTTGGTGTTTTATATGGAGGATATTCCCCTAGAGTTAACAAATGTTCCAAGACTTCTCTTTTTCTTTGTCCCAATTGGCAGAAAACTGCTATAGAATTCTTTAACATATTGCATCAAGAAGTTAAACGAAAATAGAAAAAAAGAAAAGAATCCATGGTATGCCAAAATTAACAACCATAATCCCCAGAACTGGTCGAGACCAGCTGCTAACTATGTGCTATAGCTTATAGCAATCCTCATTCTACTCATACTGTTGCTGTCTTATCTCACTACCCTTTCTGAATTTGAAACATAACCAAGAACAAATTATCATTTATCATCACACTAAACGATTTTTGCAAATGGACCTTCAAAGTATTCACATCACACAAGAAAAATATTTGTAGTACCATTCCTAGTTATGAAGTATTCTGACTGCTAATCATGACAATTTTCTTAATTTGTGGAATCTCTATTCTGCCAATAACCAGAAGTGAAATTGACTGGATAGAGATCAGAAGCAGACGTAGAAGAATTAGCCCATGGCCCATCTCCTAACATACTCTTTGTCTGGCTGTTTTCTTCATCGTTTTCTTCGATTTGCTGATAAAACTTCTTCATTGCCTCCGGATTCAATTCTTTAGTAGAAACACTTGAATCTGTAATCAACTCTACGACAGCAGCCGTGCCTTCAAGCACCTTACCACAGAAGACATAGAAGGCCTAGCTGCGCGGTAGGAAGTGCAATAGAGAGCCCACATCGATCATCACCATCACTCTATGTTGAAATCCGAGTCCTATTCTTGGATCGCTAAACCAACAAGCTCCCTTTTGCTTCAGAAAGAGCCATAAACAAGCAAAATTAAACTGACAAATGCTTGAGCTGCCATTACCATGTAATGGAAGACACAATTCATATATCTAGTGAACTGCACTCAGAAGAGTAAAGGCATTCCTCATTTAAAAGGACTATGCAAGCCACGTATTTCAGGACTCAAATCCTTTTGTTCTACTAGCATATCACATGGATAAGCAAGCAATGAAGATGAAGCCTTAGTTACCAATCAAGAGATAGAAAGATTCCTCTTCCACCGGTCTTAATGTTGCACCTGCCACTAACAATTTCACAGAGCCACGATCCCAAAACTATATACATCTGCTTTGTCACTTAAATGACCATGCATTGCATATTCAGGGGCCATATAGCCACTGCGAAGTTAAAGAAGACTAATTAAATACAGCATTTTTTTTTTTTTTTGTGTGTCAGGAGTCAGGGTGAAACTGAAAATTCTTTCTTAACTCTGCTTCAATATTGTATACATCTCCTGGGAAATTTTTTATCATTCAACCATTGAAATTTGAGGAAAAAAAAAAGGCATGCAAATGAAGAAAAGAAAGAGATTGACAATCAATCTGGATAGACTTACTAAGTTCCAGCAATTCGGGTGCTGATGTGGGTATTATCCTCTTCATCAAGCTTGGCCAAACCAAAATGAGATATTTTGGGGTTTAGATTCTTATCGAGCAACACATTGGTAGCCTTAATGTCCCTATGGACAACCTTCAACCTTGATTCTTCATGGAGATAAGCTAAACCTCTTGCTATGCCAATGCAGATATTCCGTCTTGTTGGCCAGTCTAATTTCAATTGAAATTCTTCTGGGCCTTTTGATAACCAAATAAACAGAAGCTCAGACAAACTAGCATTCTTCTCTTGATATATTATTAAGGACAAGCATTCACATGTGTTTGGGTGTGTGTATGTGTCGCACGCCATGCCTAGGAAGTTAAAGTAAACCATATAGACGAGATCTACCAAACAATGCACGTGCAAGGCTGTTGTTTTCCAGGTACTCATATATAAGCAGCAATTGATTTCCTTCGATGCAACATCCATACAACTTTACTAGATGAGGATGTTGTAGAGCCGAAATCATGCCAATTTCAGTCACAAACTCACGGTTTCCTTGCCTTGATTTAGCAGATAGCTGCTTAACAGCGATTTCTGTGCCATCTGCCAGAATGCCCTGCATTTGAAAAGCATATTACCTGGTTCAATTAACAACAAAAGTACCTGGGGAAGTGCTGCGGTAAGGATGGTCAGAGTGCAAGTAATCAGAGGAACGAGTGTGTTGCACATGATACCTTGTAAACAGGACCAAAACCACCTTCACCAATCTTATTAGTAGCATCAAAGTTGTTTGTGGCAGCTTTAATTTGCCTCAAGGTAAAGGAACTGGTCTGCAACTCTATACCTTTAAGATCTGCAGAAGAAGCTAAGCTAAATGAGAAGCATTTATGATTAGCATCTAAATATCTGCATTTCTTGTTGTCTAGAGACAGGCCTAAATGGTGTAATGGATACTGACTATGTACCCTATTATTTTCCATATTGATACCTATTGTCCACAAATTTATGAAATTCGAATGTAGCAGAATGTATTGATTTCTTTATAAATACCTCGTTCCAATGTACTCTTCTGTCTTAAACAGCCATTCCACCACAGAATACCCATAATCAGGAAGGTAGCAAATGTTGCTCCAGCCACAATTCCAACCACCACGCTTGCAGAGATACCACCACCTTTTTCACTTGGAGGTTTATAATCTGGTCGAAGAAAATTATATAAAATTTATTAACTAAGATTAGATGACATTGTTGGTTGAGTATGTACGTTTCAGCATAAGTAACAAAGCCATTAACATGCGGGGTTTCGAACACCTACGAGGATCAAAAATTGATATTGCTGATATAAGAGGACCGTAAACTCCTCTCTGGGGAATAGAAGTAGAGCCTTTTCCAGCCCATTGCAAACGAATTTTTAAAGTACCATCAGTCACAAATACCGTAAAGTTTTTTAAAATTGGTTTGCAAACCCCACCCGCTTCATCCTTAATGTTGAAATCCTTCAGCTCCCGCTTTCCCTGCAATTATCTACTCCATTTAACTGAACTTTCCATTCGGGAAAATGTTCGAAAGGACTATTATGATTATGTAAATATCATAATCATAATGGGAATGCTGCAAGTTGTCATAACATCAGAACTTGGTAACAAGTATATTAAAGTACCTGAATGTAAACATCAAATATCCGCCTCCCTAAGCTGCTAAATGACTTATCATCAGTGAACTGTATCTCTGCAAAATGGAGGCCTACATTGTATATTCGATTCTTCAGACAGAATGCATAGTAAGTCAAAGAGCTAGGTGAAAGGCGTGCAGTTGTGTATAGTTGACGATCATTCTTAGAAAGTTGTGTATTGTTCGAAAGGACCAAAACTAAGTCGTCCTTGTCACGATTATCATCCAAGAAAACACCAGTGGTGCTCGTTGCCCAATAATTTGTAGCACTTCGGAAAAATGTAGAATGCCCAGCTCTATCAATATCAGCTTCATAAGTGCTACCATTAACCTTTACTTCTCTCCCTCCACAGTTTATATAAAAAGAGTGCAAAGCTGAGGTACAAGGAAAAGCAGTTCAACAACTATTGGAGGAAAACACAAACTGAGTGAAATGGTCACATAGAAGAAAAATGGATAGTTATTTCAATCTCAAATGAGTCAAATAATTGGCATAGCAACATAGGTTAGAGCAATTGCAGAAGGTCAGTGATTTTTAAAAGAAAAAGAGAGTATTCTGAAGTATACAGTATATAAATGCTGATGCATTATGGAGAAAATATAAGAAGCGCTTAACATTGTTTAGAAGTACTGTGGGATATTAAAATAGGAAAAGCATTACCAAGCTTTTATGATTATGAGAACCGATGGTTAAGAAGGATATAAAGTTTCTACATACGTTCTTCTGGACAACGAGGGCATCCCAAACATGAAACAGTTCCTCTGGTTAAAAAAAAAAAATAATACAAGTCCCAGAAAATGGTCAAGCATTATACCAGCAAAATGGCAGTTACTCTAAAGATAATGAAAGTTTAATCACTGTGTTCGAAAACTTACAGGTTATTGATCCTTGAACTGCTTGCAAACAAATTCCTACAGACAATGACATGTTATAAAAACCATAGCTATTATATATCAAAGATCCACTCACAAAGAAAAACACAGGAACGCAAAAAAAAAAAAAGGCAAACAGACAAACAAAAAAACAAACTTAAAGGACAACATTCTTACACGCCACTTTGTTGACAGCTTTGTATTATGTTTGCGAAGTTGTTATATGAAAGATCCCTACGCATAGAATGATTCAGTAATATTACTTTCTCTTCGATCCAATTGCAATTGCAATTGTAGAATTAGCTGATATCTCTTGCCCTTCACGCAATCAAATTTGTTTTGAGGCGATAGCCACAGGTAAAGCAGGATTATAAAAATTAAACTTCTTTTTGATTAATTGAAAAAGTGTTATGGTCAAGCTCCTCGAGCATACAATGTCATTGAACATTTGGAAGAGAAACTTACATTTCTCCGTTCGTTTCTAGTATCCATGGAGGTATTGGTCCAGTAAACATGTTTCCAGTTAAAAACCTGATCAAAGAAATCATAAAGTTACTGCAATTAGATGTAAAGTTAATAGCTTATCAGGAAGATTTATCAGTTGTGATGAAAAATCTGAAGATAAGGAAAGAAGTCATCCGTCCTCTGACAGAGAAGATCAATATAGCGTGACCGACATGTTTTTAGAGTGATGAAAGCTTTGTTGATAATTAGATAACTATATTCATTGTATCCTATTATTTTCCATATTGATACCTATTGTCCACAAATTTATGAAATTCGAATGTAGCAGAATGTATTGATTTCTTTATAAATACCTCGTTCCAATGTATTCTTCTGTCTTAAACAGCCATTCCACCACAGAATACCCATAATCAGGAAGGTAGCAAATGTTGCTCCAGCCACAATTCCAACCACCACGCTTGCAGAGATACCACCACGGTTTTCAATTGGAGGTTTATAATCTGGTCGAAGAAAATTATATAAAATTTATTAACTAAGATTAGATGACATTGTTGGTTGAGTATGTATGTTTCAGCATAAGTAAAAAAGCCATTAACATGCGGGGTTTCGAACACCTACGAGGATCAAAAATTGATATTGCTGATATAAGAGGACCGTAAACTCCTCTCTGGGGAATAGAAGTAGAGCCTTTTCCAGCCCATTGCAAACGAATATTTAAAGTACCATCAGTCACAAATACCGTAAAGTTTTTTAAAATTGGTTTGCCAATCCCACCCGCTTCATCCTTAATATTGAAATCCTTCAGCTCCCGCTTTCCCTGCAATTATCTACTCCATTTAAATGAACTTTCCATCCCGAAACATGTTGGAACTTTGTTCGAAAGAACTATTATGATTATGTAAACATCATAATCATAATGGGAATGCTGCAAGCTGCTCTAACATCAGAACTTGGAAAGAAGAAGTACATTAAAATACCTGAATGTAAACATCAAATATCCGCCTCCCTAAGCTGCTAAATGACTCATCATCAGTGAACTGTATCTCCGCAAAATGAAGGCTCACATTGTATGTTCCATTCTTCAGACAGAATGCATAGTAAGTCAAAGAGTTAGGTGAAAGGCGTGCAGTTGTGTATAGTTGACGATCATTCTTAGAAAGTTGTGTAATGTTCGGAAGGTCGATAACAAAGTCGTCTTTTGAATTATCATCCAAGAAAATACCAGTGCTGCTAATTGCCCAATAATTTGTAGCACTTAGGAGAAATGTAGAAGGCCCAACTTTATCAGTATCAGCTTCATAAGTGTTACCATTAACTTTTTCTTCTCTCCCTCCACAGTTTATATAAAGAAAGCGCAAAACTGAGGTACAAGGAACAGCAGTTCAATAACTATTGGAGGAAAACACACTGAGTGAAATGGTCACATAGAAAGAAGAAAAATGGACAGTAATTTTCAATCTCAAAAGAGTCAAGTACTTGGGATAGCAACATAGGTTAGAACAATTGCAGAAGATCAGTGATTTTTAAAAGAAAAAGAGAGAATGCTCTAAAGTATGCAGTATATATAAGCTGATGCATTATGGAGAAAATATGAGAAGTACATAATATTGTTTAGAAGTTCTGTGGGATATTAAAATACGAAAAGCAGTACCAAGCTATTATGATTATGAGAGCTTATGGTTAAGAAGTATATGAAGTTTCTACATACGTTTTGCTGGACATTGAGGGCTTCCCAAACATGAAACAGTTCCTCTGGTAAAATAAAAAAAATACGAGTCCCAGAAAAAGGTCAAGCATTATACCAGCAAAATGGCAGTCACTCAAAAGATAATGAAAATTTAATCATTGTGTTTGAAAACTTACGAGTTATTGATCCTTGAAGTGCTTGCAAACAAATTCCTACAGACAATGATTTATAAAAACCATAGCTATTATATATCAAAGATCCACTCACAACAAAAACAAAGAAACACACATATAGAAAAAAGGAACAAACTTAGACGAGAACATTCTTACAAGCCACTTTGTTGACATTGTACTCTGTCTGTGAAGTTGTTATATGAAAGATCCCTGCACATAGAATGGTTTAGTAATATTACTTTCTCTTTGATCCAATTGCAACTGCAATTGTAGAATTAGCTGATATCTCATTCCCTTCACGCAATCAAAATTTTTTTGAGACCATAGCCACAGGTAAAGCAGGATTATAAAAATTAAACTTTATGCTATAGCAATTACTTTTACAGGTTTTCGCTTGTAAATCGAAGTATCATACTTCATTTTGGTTAATTTAAAAAGTGTTATGATCAAGCTTCTTGAGCATACAATGTCATTGAACATTTGCAAGAGAATCTTACATGTTATTTTTTGTTTCCAGTATCCATCGAGGTATTGGTCCAGTAAACATGTTTCCAGTTAAAAACCTGATCAAAGAAATAATAAAGTTACTGCAATTAGATGTAAAGTTAATAGCTTATCAGGAAGATTTATCAGTTGTGATGAAAAATCTGAAGATAAGGAAAGAAGTCATCCGTCCTCTGACAAAGAAGATCAATATAGCGTGACCGACATGTTTTTAGAGTGATGAAAGCTTTGTTGATAATTAGATAACTATATTCATTGTATCAGCATAAGCTTTGTCCGCCACTCAAAAATGGTGGTTGCCCTTTGGTAAAGAAAACTTAAGGTTCACCTACGGCCTTTAGGGATGGAAGTTGAAAGAACTCCTGCAGGCTGGGGATCTAACCCCAGCTACCGCAAAATCAAGGGCATATCCCCTTAAGTCCACTGTACCAAAAAAAAGAAGGAAAGGAATGTTTACACCAAAAAACATGTCCTTACAATTGATCCAAATTATTAAGGGAAGAAGGTGTGTCTGGAATTTTTCCACTGAGTCCGTTAAAGCTGAGATCTCTGCAAGAAAATTTTCTCAATTACTTGAATAATCAAGGTAGAGAAAAGAAAAGGAAAAAAAAAGCATAACAAAAATGCATAAAAATTCACAACTGCGTAGGGGAAAAAGTAAAAGGGAACTGCTAAAATACATGATAACATCCTACGACAAGTTAAAATTTAAAACTATATGAACTTTTTGATGCCCTTTCAAATGCACACGCAAATATGCTTGCAGGAAATTGCAGGCTACTGCTCTGATCTTGATCTTTCAGGAAAAACTATGGCAGCAAAAGAATTAAATTTAAGCCATGAGCAAGTAACTTTTTCAATACGCTACTAGCAGCATTGATTGTGTTGCATATAGGTAGTCAAAATGATTTGTCCAAATATGATCCTTACACAATTCACATGTCATCACAACATAAAATTTTCCAATAAAAGAACATCACTATCTTGAAATTGAAAGAGTTTTCTTGTATTAAGGAGAAACAAGTATATACTCACAAGATCTTTACTGTTGTCAATTCCCCAATAAAATCAGGCAGCGGTCCGGTGAGATTGCAACTCCTCAATATCCTGTAGTACAATCAAAAGAATCTACCATTTAAGTTTCCAAAAAGAAAAATCACAGAACTTGAATTAATCTGCACTTTACAGGTGGAGTTTTACTCACAGTCTTTTCAATTTAGGCAAATTACTAAGTCGCGGAAAAGATGCTTCAGCTCCATTCAAGTCACTAATTCTCCTGTAAAAAGAATTTCAACAAATCATAAACATTAGGATACAACCACAATATCCCTGAGTCATATGCTGAAATCTATGAAATTTAAAAGATCCATGCTTACAAGTCAGTTAAATTTTGCAAAGCAACAATGGCTGGAATTGGCCCACTCAAACCACTAGCCTGAATGTATCTATCATTACAAAAGTTGGGTTTGTTAAATGATTGAAAAAGCACAATTCATATTTCTAATGACGAAATCAACATTACCCATCAAAATGTGTCACAAATATTAATTAATGCTCTCACAGTTTCTCAAGTTTCTTCCAATTCTGGAAGATGAAGTTGGGAATGTTTCCTGTGAAGTTGTTGTCATCAATACGACTGTTGAGAAAACAAAATAATCACAACTAACACAATATATAATAATCGATCTGACATATAAAACTATAAAAGAATATTTTGATATTTAACATAAGAAGAACATTATTATCTTACAATTCCGTTAATGTAGTGAGCCTAGCAAATGTTTCAGGCAATTCTCCACTAAAATTGTTCGAACTAAGATGCCTGCAACACAAGCAACAACAATGCGTCATGAACCAATAAATAAAAGAGAAAATCAAGAGGAATATTATATTATATTATATCTATAATGCCCTAATAGGAATTTTGAGATTTAAGTTGTTTTATAAACTTTATTTATGTATATATCATCTCTCCCTTTTGCTTTAATTTTTCCTTAGTTTTGTTTTAAAATATAAGACATATATAAAATCATATTCATGCTAATTTTTTTCCTCTAAAAATGAAAGCAGGGCAAAGCTATATATGAATTTGAACCTAGCTAGGTTATAATTTAAATAGTTCATTTACATTTTTAAGGAAGTATTTCAACTACAATACTATAATTATCCAATTACAATCAAGAATTATGTGAGGTCCACCATTTATAAAAGTGGATTTCAGATAATATTTTGATAAACCCAACCCTAACTCTACAATTTAATTAGGTAATTGTAATATAATTATTATAAGTGATATGTTTTTTTTTTCTTCTTGTGAATTCTCATAAAGATAAAAGTTTTGATCTTTAACACTTGTATATCACAATGTAAGACGCAAGAGAAGATGTCACAAAGTAGTCCAAAATCTCATGCTACCACATACAAATACGATTGCATGAAACCTTTTTATGTTTATTAGGTAAGCGTTTTAGGTGTTCGGGCTTTCTCCAATCAATTTGAAGCATCTTTTTTGAAGCCGTTTCTGACAGCCGATGCTTCAGGTTTTCAAACGTTTGTCCTTCCTCCCACGCTTGAGATTAGATTACGTTAATTAATTACATGAAAATGATAAGATATTTGATTGTTCACTCCTTATGTACTAAAAATTAACCTCATTATTTGTTGTTGTTGTTTTCTTCTTCTTCTTCTTCTTTTTTTTTTTTTGGAAAGGAAATTTCTAGCTAGAAAATTGTTTTAATTTTAAAAAGACAAACGTTGATGAATTAAGATTAATTCAAACATTGCTCAAAACATGTAATCATGCAACAGAAAAGAAAACCAACATTTTCTTTTGTTACTAACATTTTTATCTATGGCAAAACAAATGATGGAACTAAAAAGGCTTTTTCTTTTGCCTCTTATTGTGAAGATTTGCATTCAACTTATAAGGTATTATTTACTTTAATTCCAAAATTTTATGATTTTATCTCATAAAAAATACCTTATAAGTTTGAGTTTAAGTTTTTATTTATATATTATAGCAAATTATCAAAATCTTTCGATGTAAGATTAGAGTATCACAAACTCTTTCATTAGAGCTTGACGTTCCAATAAAGCTCAACACAAAATACATAGATCCATCGAATTACACCAAACATTGAGCAAGCCTAATACAAAATACACATAAATCATAGAATCACATTAAACATTAAAATTCTAAGCTTAACGTTCTCATCAAGCTCAACACAAAGCATACAAATCTACCGAATCACACTAAACATTTGGTAAGTCCAACACAAAAACACAAATATCATAGAATCACATTAGATATTAGGTTTTTAGAGGTGGCTCCCTATCGTGTAATACTTAACTCTCACAAGTTTCTAAATGTGACTAGAAGTAACTCCTACGAGGTAAGCTTTAGTTTTTGTTTGACTAATAATTTCTTTGATACCATTTATAGAAACACACATTTAATTTAAGAAATATTGTTCGTTTTAATTAAAAAATCTTACAATTTTATTTTACAATAAATTTAAATTTAACTCTTTACTTATATATCATAACAAATACTCAAAATTTTTTGACTATGAGATTGGAATGTTATACTTATATTCTTAAAGCTCGTTATTCCTATACTCCATCCATTATGCAATTAATGTCTTGTACTGTGGATACTCTCTCTCAAATTATTACCATTCATAACTATTTTTATTGATGTATAATTCCCAAAAACCATCATCAACATTACTAGCTAGCTAGTTGCTTTGCAATTGCAATACCTTAGTCAGGGCTGCTACTTTAATTAGCACTGCTTCTAAATTTCGCAACTTGTTTCATGTTGCATAGGATTCATGTAAGTACCTAAAACCTAGTTCATAAAACATGGTTCCAAACTTGAAGTTTGTTTTGTGATTGTTATATAATTATATGATGTTTGCGTGGTTGAGACGATACGATTTTTTTTTCTCAACAAATATATAAAATAGCATTTGATCATTAATATTTTCATTAAAATTAGAGTCTTGGATTAATTATACTTAATTTGAAAAATATCACTTAACAAGTTGGAAGCCAAACCCTACTCAAATCTAATTTGATTTTAAAAGTATCAACACTTTGATATATCAACTTAATCTTAATACCAATAGACTCAAATGAAAATTAACTTAAATAAATGACTTGAAAACAAAAATTATTGTTGTTTATATTATATCTACCAATAGAGATTTAACCCATATTTGTAAAACATCTTTTGTAGATAAAACCACATTTGAAACAATATCTCCCATGTTGGTTGACTACCAAGCATGACAAGCAATTGTAGATGTTCGTACAAGAAAGGACTCTGTCGTTTATTAAAAAAATACTAACAATAATGAGTGAAATTATGCAAGAATTTTAAAGGGAAGAGTCTCACATTCTTTCAATGTTTGTTAGATTCCCAAGCTCTGGAGGCAAAGTTCCCGAAAGACGATTTTCCTCGAGGACTCTGCAAATTTATCATAAATAGAATTAATTCACTAGCGATATCAGAACACATATCGATATAATTCTGATAAATTTGTCATAATGAAATGAGAAATACTATAAAAATCACTAGAAAACAACTCACAAGCTGGTCAGAGTGCTTATATTTGCCAACTCTTTTGGGATTAAACCTGTTAAACGATTTCCAAGAAGGCTACTGCAATAATACTCATGTTAATTCATCCAAGATCCATATATATACTCCATGGATATTGCATATGAAGGATTCTACAATTAAAAAGTATTTTAAAAATCTACTATGCACACTAAGTATTATAGTGACCCATGTTTCGATGCTCTGTTCTTAAACTATTGCTTCAATTATTATTATTATTATTATTATTATTATTTTAGTACACATCTTCGCAAATATATTCAATGGATATGAATATGCAAGTTTGATCCTCCACACATTTATATAGACCCTATTTTTTATTTAATAGAATTCCTTTAACTTTCATTATACATGATGCTGTGCCTGCACATATGTAATAGAAAGCATACATGTCGATCAGTTGCATAGAACCCCATTGTGGAGGAATTTCGCCACTAAGGTAATTGCGAGTGAGATCACTGTAAGAAAAGGGTTAAAGTTAGATTAGTGATGATAAGGAAAGTAAATTTACTATTATATATAGTTAATTGAGGTTAATCATGAAAGAAGTTTGGAAAGGCACATACATTTCTTTGAGGAAAGGGAGCCTGACCAATTCTGCAGGGAGAATACCTGACAGATTTTGTGACTTGAGCAGTCTGTTTCAATAGAAACAAAACCAAGGTTAGCTACCTGAAGTTACTTCAATTCAACATTTAGTGGTGGAAAAATATGATGTGGCACAAAATGATAGGGTGAAAAAATAGTGGTATTTATGCTTCATTCATGTACATGTTCAACGTATATGTATTATGGTGACCTCACAAATTTGGATTTAAATTTCTAAACAGATTCATCAAATCACATCACATAGATGCATTGAATCACAACAAACGTTAGGCAAGGTCAACATAAAGCACACACAGATCACAAGATTACACCAGATATTGGAGACATCATAGATTTGGGTTTAGATCTCTACACAGATCCATCGAATCATATCAAATGTTGGACAAGCCCAACACAAAGTACACACAAATCATGGGATTATACCAGATGTTGAAATTCTAGAGGTGGCTCTCATCATGTAGCACTTAATTCCCGCAAATATTTTAGTGATCACTTTAATACCATTTGTATAAACCCGCATCCAATCGAAGAAATATTATCTACTTTAACCTAAAAATTTTATTGTTTTATCTCACAAAAAACGTCTAACAGATTTAGATTTAAGCTTCTATATATATATATCATAATATATTCTCAAAACATCCCGATGTGAGATTAGAACGTTACATATATAATCCGTGAACGGATTGTGATCAGTACAAAAAATACTGAACAAATCTTAAAATAAAATTCTATCCATAGGTTACTAATTTAACAAGGAATTTTTTCCATGTTTGATTGTGTTTAAATCTCCTAATATAAAAAAATGAAATCATTCAAAATATGTATAATCTGTTAGTGGATATGCGATCAGTAATGAATTAATATAAAGTGCGTGTGAAAAACTTTAATTTAGAGAGACGATGCTTATCATGTTACGGACAATGGCAAATGGGTGTTATTGGAGAAGGAGGCAATCACAGGTAAACATTAATTATCGTAATATTTGGAGTTTTCTATCTCCAACCAACTAGCTCTCGACTGCATGGATCAACATCAAAGTTCCAATTCTCTTCCTAGCTTTTGCTTAATTTCACAGCTTCCACTGTAGCAGCATAATGTAAACACAGGTTATAATAACCACAAATAAGAAAAATTCAAATGGATGAAAACAAAAATAATGAAGCCAAGTTCTATCTTCTTAAATATATACCTTCATCATTGGGAAGAGTAGCTGCTCCAAATGCAAAAGTTGTGATGCAACAGGCAATGAATATTGAAGCAAAAACAAGTCGAGGAAACAACATCTTGGACTGTCGTACGTTGAAGAGGAATTCACCAGCTTCTTGCTTGATTATAGCAGATAAAAAGGAACAAGGAAAAGATGAAGAAAGCTGGATTATGTATAGGAAATAAACACTTTTTAAGACAATACTAGTCAATGCTATTATTATTATTATTATTTGGATGTCTATATGACTTTTAAACGAAACTTATGTTTGTGATCATTGTAGCAAGTTGTGTAAAAATCCTGCGTGAGATTTAATGACATAAGGTCCCATTATAGATGACGATGGAAACAGAATGATATAGTCCTTTCGTTTAATGTTTTGCAACCTTAGAATCGTGATCATAGTAGCAAGTTGAATAAAAATCCAGCGTGAAATTTAATGACGTAAGGTCCCATAGATAACGATGGAAACAGAATGATAACTGTCCTTCATTTAACGTTCACATATAGTTGTCAGTGAAGTGTAAAAACTTATAAAATATTAATTTGTTATGTTTTACATATATTTTTAAATTAAAATTAAATAAAAATTAATTATTAAAAATAAAATATATTTACTTCGAGTCATATCTAGACTTGAAAAATCATGTCGAAAATAATGGAATAACAATGCTAAAATATCTCCTCTAAATTACAGTAGTGATTTAGAAAAAGATATATTGAAATCTAAATTGATATAATATTAGATGTATATATGAATTTATATTTTATATATTATCAGTGTATAATTTTATATATTATCAGTAAATTAAATGATACTATTTTATTAATGAATAAATATTAGCTCTTAAAATAAATATATAAAATAAATATTTTTTAAAAAATTTATTTATTAATAAAATAGTATCGTTTGTTCACTTTATTAATGAGATTGTATCATCCAATTCATTAACAATGTACAAAATTTATATGTTGACAATACATCAAATATAAATTATATATATATATATAATTCCGTTTGTTTAACATAGACATTTATAGTATGCCTTACTAACTACATTCATTTGGCGTGTAGTTTTAAGAAAAAATAATTTTAATATTTTTAATATCCTTGTTGGTTTCTTGTATATCAACTAGAGGTGTTCATGAGTTAAGTCCGACTGAATTCAAGTTAGAAATGCTTGATATTAATTGTTTATATATTTGTTCAGATCTAGTCTATTTTGAAATTTTGGGTGTTAAAAATTTTTTTAAGTCAAGCCTAAATTATAAAAATAAATCTCAAACTCATCCATTAAATTTAACTTATATAATAAAAAATTAAAAAAAAGTGATTAAATTAAGTTTAATGGGATTATATTCAATTTACATATATAAAAAAAATAAAAATAAAAATTAAGTTTAATAAAATATATATAATTTTTATTTTTAGTTTATATATATGTCGATTAACTTATATATAATTCATGTATATATAAAATAAAAAATATATATATGTGAATTCAGGTTGGGTCAGTCTTAGATTTTAAATTTTTTGTTTAAGACATAGTCCGAAATTTAAACGGATCTAAAAATTGTATCTAAATCTGTTAAATGGGTTTTAATTTTTTTATCTAAACTCTCTCAAAACTTAAACGGATCTTCAAGTTTTGATAGATAACTTGATTCTTGAATATATCTAATATCAACATATACAAGAAAATTGAAAAATTCATATTAAATATAGAAAATTTAATAATTTTAGATGTTTAAAAGTAAGAAACTAAAAACCAAATTTTAGTGTGGTAAAAAATGCACATAAACATGCAAACAAAAGTTTAAAGAGAGAAAGTTTAGTAATTTGGCTCCAATCACTAGTTTTCACATGAGTTTATACTCAAATCATTAGAATTTTTAAATCCAATACTTGACTCAATAATTTATGTATATTCGTTTTTTATTCAAAAGCAAGATTTAAATTTCATTTCCCTGTAAAAGTAAGACTCAAATCTCTATTCCTTAATTTTTTTTTTTTAAATTCATTAGAACTTTGTAATTCAATTCGTTTTTGTGACATTGGTATACCTGGTGGAGTCATGTTATGGAGTGAGTTCCAATTGTGCAAAGACAAATATTTTTCTTGCAAATAACATGAGTTACATCAAAAATATTTTATTTAATTTATTTGCATATTTATAAAGCAAACTACTTCTTTAAGAATATTCAAGCTCCTGAACTCTACTAAAATATGGTCCAAGGACGGCTTCCAACTCTGCCACCTTCATTACCTTCGTTCGGCGTAACTGAGAATTACTTAGTTGGAGAAATCCCTGGCTCCTCAATTTGCAATATGAGCTCCCTGGAAGATCTCGACCTGTCTCAGAATAATTTTGATGGAATTATTCCTGAATGTCTTGGAAATTTAAGTCATTCTCTGTCAGTCATGGATCTATTTATGAATAATTTTCATGGTGTAATACCAGCTGGAATATTTCCTAAAGGCTGTTCGTTGAAAAGTTTCCGTATCGACAGCAACCAAGTTGAAGGGCCAATACCACAATCTTTGGTTAATTGCTTGGACTTAGAAATTCTTGATCTCGGGAACAATGACTTAAATGACACCTTTCCTAGCTGGTTAGGAAAATTGAAAGGATCTACATGTTCTTGTCTTGCGGTCCAATAGATTGTATGGTCACATTGTCAATCCTGAAGTAGTTGCATCTTCCTTCTCTAATATGCGGATCATTGACCTCTCTCAAAATGACTTCCATGGCAGCTTGCCAATCAAGATTTTTGAAAATTTGTATGCTATGATCAATGGGTCTGAAAGGAAAGGTGAATATATGGGATATCTGTATTCTGATGAATATCAAGTGTATTATGAGTGTTCTCTATTGCTTACAACAAAGGGCTGGAGAGGCAGTTCCTGAAAATTTTAACCATTTTAATGGTTATTGATTTTTCAAATAATCGATTCGACGGGCAGATTCCTGAAATACTTGGACAACTTCATTCACTTGTTGTCCTAAACCTCTCTCACAATGGTTTAACAGGTCCAATCCCATCATCCTTTGGCAATTTGTCAATGCTCGAGTCATTAGATCTCTCATCAAACAAGCTTCAAGGAAGAATTCCGCAAGCGTTAAAAAATCTTGGATTCTTAGCGGTGTTAAACCTTTCTCAGAATAATCTTACGGGGCCCATTCCTGGAGGCAAACAGTTTGATACTTTCACAAATGATTCCTACAGTGGGAACTTGGATTTATATGGATTCCCTTTATCAAAAAGCTGCGGTAATAATGATCAGAAACAGCCTCCAACAAAAACTGATAGAGATGATGCACTCAATTGGAAATTTTCTATACTGATGGGGTATGGATGTGGCCTGGTGTTTGGATTGAGCACGGGATACATTGTATTCACAACTGGAAAACCATGGTGGTTCATTAAGATCATTGAGCTCTGTCAACAAAAATATTTTGGAAGGAAAATCCGGAGAAGTGGAGGAAGAAAATAATTCAGCTGATTAATGCTCTTAGTCTTAGGTGAGTTACAATAGTTCTAATAAAGTAACTGCTGTTTTTTTATTACCATACCTTTCTCTTTTCTTTTTTTTTTTGGCTATTAGATGGAAGGACTAAACCTCAAATTTTCTCTGACAAGTTTTAACAAATGTTTCCAGTTTGGTTGTGTGCCTCTTGCAATAAGGATACTCAGAAGGGAAGTTAATTTCTTCCACAAACAGTTTTTCAAGCCTGGTGGATTGTCATCACCAATTTCAGTTGTAGTATTCGTATCCTATTCATAAGATTTTGGTTATGGTATGTATTTTAGACTTCGATATATTGAACTATACGTGCTGTGTAGCATATATTCTCCAACATTTTCTTCAGCACTATATTAGCTTCAATATTAATGCTCAAATTTAGGATCTGTAACACAAGCCTTGGTCTGATGAATAACTTGGGCAGGTAACAAGGCAAAGATGAAACTCCTGTATGAAACTTTTATTAAAATGCATGGTGTTCTTCCAAATAGAAACAGGACCTAGATTAACATTGAAGCACGCCAAAAGTACCCCCCAGATATCAATATGATAAATCCCCTCTTTTTCTTCAGACTAATTCACAGACTTAGCCTGCAGGTAATTATTGCATTACATATGTTGAATATTTGATAGATGCTTAGTTCATTAATTGACATAATACAACAAATTTACTACCAGAATTAGTGGATAACAAATTTCAATGGGAACAACTTAACAGATATGCTTCCTATCGATGACCCCTTCTTTAGAATTTACTACCAGAATCAGTGAATAACCAAAAGATAAGCTATGTAGATCCGTCCTTGAGCCTATGAAACCCTCTAAACTTTCATTTTTATTTTTTAATTTAAGTCATGCCAATTTAAGGGATTTTGAATTGTGTAGAAACCTGTTTTGTCCGAGAAAAATTGCCTGTTATTTTGAAAAATTCAAATTTGATTCTTAATTTTATTCTGATTTGATTTCGGATTACTATCTGACTCAATTAAGTTTTAATTTTAATTTTATTTTTGGTTTTATTTTTATTTTTTTATTTTTTTATTTTCTTCTTTCCTTCTTGTCTTTTCTTCTTCTCTCTGGTTTTTTTTTTTTTTTTCCCAAAAGTTATGGTGCTTTAAATGTAACACCGAACTGCATATCTTGTCAGAAATGCATATCTTATCAGCAACCAACCAGATCCAAGATTTCGGCCAATTGCCCCAAGCTATATCCGCCGCACTGCCAGCCGCACCATCGCCCTGACCCCTCAAATTGGTTTAAAATTTCTTCTCAAATCCCATAAAATCTGAGATTTAGTTTTATTCTTGACTCTATAAATAAAGCCTTTCAAGCACAAAAATAAAGATTAATTAAAGGTAAAAAAAATTTTAAGTTATATCAAAAGTGTCGAAAACATATTAGAAATTTTTAATATTTAAATAATAATAAAATAAAAAGTAAAAGATTGCTTAAACAAGATAATTCTAGGATCCTATAGAATTAATTGGTATCATCTTCAAACGACTGTTGTGGGAGTACTATAATCTTCTTCATGCATAACTTACTCTTAAACCAAACTTTAGTTTCATAGATCAAAAAATAGGATTAGTGGCTAATCACATCTAAACAACAAAGATTTGTGATAACTCTTTGATTTTTACATCTAGTGGTTTACTCTCCAAACCGATATGTTATGCTTGCAACTTGGTGACTTCGTTAAGGACTAATAGAGAGTCGAACCAAAACTAATTTTATGTAATCCTGGGTCGTAGTTGAATAGATTAATTTTCTTTATTCATTTATGTGATTGATTACTTTCTTACTTGTTTATTTGTTAAAAAGGTGTTCAAGAATCAGTTCCTCCATACATTGCATAAGCATATTATAACATGAGCTCTAGACCTTAGCTTCATCCTTCTTAGAAAGGCGTAGAGTTCTTATACTCTTGTGAAGTATTAACTTTCCCAATGACTAGCAAAATGCTTTTGCTCAAAATTGATTCCTTTTAATTTGTAACCTATCATGGGTAAGGATTGGAATGCATTACTAATCCTACGTGGATGATAGTGAGGGACAATTTGAGAGCCTTTAGCTGTTATCCTAACCTATGCATATGAATGACCTAGGAAGCCTATCTTTTGGATAGAGCCATGACCACTTATTATTTAGAATTATCCTAAATACCAAAGGATATATGAAAAAAAAGGCCATTGTTGTTTCAAATTCCTTATTATTTATCTCATGCATCACCACAATTTCATATAGGAAGTTATTTTCCACATCAATTTTGACAAAACGAATCTTGGTTACATCCATGGAAAGTTTAGAGCAGTTTCAATCTACACCGATTTAAACATAATGCTTTGAAAATCAGATCGGAGGAAACAAAAAGTAAAGAAGAATATTATTTTTTGGTAGATTATGTGTCCATTCTTCATAAGAAAATCCATCTTAATTTGAAGCAAAACAACTTTTCCAATCTGGCTTTGATTTGAAAGTAATGGAATAGCAATATACGAGAAAATTTTCAAGAGCTATATGGAGAGTTAGCTTTACTTCTCTCGATAGAGGTAGGAATGAACAACTTATTAGAGAGATTATGGGATTTTGGGAGCCTTTATACAAAGTGTTTCGTGTTCAATAAGGTTGATATGGTGCCATAATTGAGAGTATCCATATTTCTTTGTCTACACCATTTTATGGTCCTAACCAAAGGTCTTTTTACAACAAACAAGAGTATGGACAAAGTCTTTTACAAACAAGAGTATAGGCTATCATAAAAAACTGGCCACAATGATGAAAATCAATATGGAAGACATTGATAAGCACGTTAAAGAAAAAGGTGAGAATGCATATATTCTTAAGGATTTCTTGTATTGGCATCTCATTAGACAATAGATGATAACTAGTGCATGACTCTATTTGCCATAGTTGCGTAAAAGATGGTAGATTTTCAAAAGGACTTG